GCCCTGCTATAATTGGAGTTATTAGTCATTCACCTCTCCAATGGACTAATGAGCTTTCAATGCTGACTTTTTACAAGTTAGTGTCAATTCTTTTTTGTGTTTATTCACATTTAAGGCTCTGGTTTGGGTTCTAAAAGTTCTTGCAGCAAAAGATGACACCAAAGTGACAGCAAACATATGACATGGCCCTTTATTAGATACAATGTCATAGGATACTATCTTAAAGTACATACTTGAAGTTTTTATTTGATAGTCTGAAAACATGATAAACGGTAATAAAAAATGGTAAAAGTGGTAAAAAATGGATTTAAAAAAACTTCATGTACAGGTCCTTGGTTTTAGGAAATGAACGCTTATGAATCCTAGAAGAATAAGCCCTTGTTAGTCATGCATACTTAGGTGAGTACATTTCCACGACGCTTTGCTCTCACGACACAGTGTGATCCATGAAGACTGACCATCCATCTTCTAATCACCTCTCCTGGTCAGTGGTACAGAGGTCTCTCAGGGTTACTGACGTCAGTCTTGCTGCATGTCTTTGGACTGTGGGAGAAAGCCAGATAACTGAAAACCCATGTGACACAGGGAGAACGTGCAAACTCCACACACACGCAGTGGAGCTAGGATAAGAGCAGCTAGCAGCTATAGCCTGGGAAAGTTCTAGTACAATGAGATTGCATGTAGTCCTCTTCATGGAAAATTACTGAGGGGGAAGAGGGTCAATAGGTAAGAAGCCTCACAACGCACCAAAGGTGGCAGCATGTTTAACTCTACTGTGCCAGCGGCATCCCGATCTCCAAGGTTACTTTTCTGATTACCTGGATCAGAATAGCAACCCATCCAGTGAGGAAAGATCCCGTGCCTTTAACATGCTGAATGAACACAGAGGCTAGAGAGAAATCCACAGGGGATACCTCAAAGGTTTGGTTTCAACATTGATAGGGACCAAATTAGCCCCAAAGCCCTTTGCTCCCCTAAACACACAGGGTACTCCCACAATGTTGGTAAGGAGCATGGACCTACTCAAATAAATGCCCTTGTTCACTACTCATTTTCTTTACCCAGAAGGACACAACAGCATAGTACATAATCGGGCAACCAACCTTCAATTTACGTTAGACAGTCACCTCGTAAATCACCAGGCCGTTTACACCTGTGTTTTCATTTTTAGTCACACAGATAAACAAGGTGTGTAAAGCCTGATTAATTGATATTATTTGTCAGTGATAAATTTATTATCAATAATGTACCGCTACTTATACGGATTGAAATCTTATTAGAATTAACGTCCTAATATTAAAATAAATGCAATGACACAACGTTGGTTTTTGTCTGGTTCAGTCACACGGTGTAATGGATCAAATTATACGAGGCAGCAGATCAGAGAAAAGCAGAAAGGGGCTAAGAGCGAGGTCACAGCGGGGTATTGTTGTACGAGGAAAACTCATTTAGCCCTCAAACTGTCTCAGGATAATGAGCATCTGGAGGTGGGACCTTGCCCCTCTCCTAATTACTAATGTCGGTCTGGGCCATATGTCGGGCCGTGCGGTATGCCCATGATAACTCAAAAAACGACGTATAATAAAACGTCGAAAACGCGTGTATTTTAGCTTACAAAGTAAACGTGGCGCTTAGCGAACGACAATTTAGGAACAGATACCTGCACATAACGCAAGTAGGAAGATATTACCATAAGGGGGGGGGGGTAGTTCGCAGTCAATAGACCTCGGAGAAATTGGCTAGATGAGGTAAGGCCCGGTTAACTAGTTATATTATTTGAAAATAACTGTTCCAAATAAATACGTATTCATATGTACTTAAATGCGAGGAGACCTGATAGAAAATTTTCACTAAACAACTTGTATTGGGCTAACGGCGTTTCACGTTAAAATACTACGCAATGCACGGGAAGTGAGTGCAACAGAACCTTCTTTTTAAAGTAACTGTTCTGCAGTATAACTCTTCGTGGTTCTGTAACTATATATGTGACGAAGATATCAATATTGCTTCTAATCTGCCTCAATTGCACTCACCGGAAGGTGGATTGCGGTTATAAACCGTCATTTAGAATCGGACAGCGACCCCTGGCGTTGACGACGAGTGTAATTATATTTCTCAGCTATGCTGACAAGTTCAAATTCATCCTCAGTACAGGAGGGCGATTTAATCTATTCTACTTATATTTCTGCAGGGTTTCTTCTGTTCCCTCGTTCTCTGCTCTTTCCAGAGGTGTAATGTGACATTATAATTCCGTCTATAGGTGTTAGCTTCGATGGATTGATGTCCTGTTCATACTGTAGTGCTCCATGACGCTAACTGGAATGGACGTTTAATGTTATATCATGTAACACCCGCCCTGCGGCGCTAAAATGTATCTCCTAAATGAGCGCCCGACTCCGGAGAATTGATTGTAAGAAGATTTGAAAATGTTTAGGTTGATATTTGAAAGATTTACAATTTTCTCTGGAAATTTTAGTAGGCAAAATCATGCATGAAAGTTTTACCTGATCAGCTTATGCAAACTGCATTTTAGGTCTGCATGTAAATTTTACGGATTTCACGGTTTGGACACGGTTCAGTTTCTTAGGGGAGATTGAGACTCATCGATCTGGGATGTCTGGAAGAACATTTCAAACGTTATTAGCCTATTAAAAGAATTTTATTAGGAGAAATGTTATTCATCATATACAGTAGGTCAATAAAACTGGACACTTGGTTGATATTCTTGTATATAGCAAGAAAAAAAAGAGAAACTGCCGTTGTAAAACCCACATTTCACATTGGATTTATAAAGCAACCAATAAACTAAAGTGTAATGTAAATAGAATTGCTTCTGGTCCTTGAGTGGTGACTCAGTGCAGACACGTAAAGCAACAGCCTACTTGTTACTTAAATATTCAGCTTCAAATTATTTTTATTTTGTGTTAAACATGCTATACAGTAATTATGCACACATTTATAAAGCATTAGTTTTATTTATATTCCAGAACGCTGTATTATCATAATGTGTTATATGGTGATTTCCTTCGGTTTTGTGCTGCTTGAGTCAATCACCCCGATCTCTCCTGCCTTGTGTGTCACTGGTAAGCAGGCTAACACAAAGAAGTACAGTCTATTGTCTGTGATCTTATCTCCCTGCCAGAGACGTGAGATGGTCATTCGTCTCCCCCTGCAACGAAGGAATCTGGATGAATTCCACACCAGCCGGTCCAAGGTACTTGTACGTTATCACTGTCACCTCTCCCTAATTGATCTTAATTTGCGGCTTTAGAATACACCCCCTCTATACTTTATTTAATTTGACTGAGTATAGTTTAAAAAAAAAAGAAAGAAAGAAAAAAGGAGGGGAGGGTGGGTCACGGATGCTAGCTGTAAGTGCTTTTCTTTTCTTTTGACTTGGAAGCGGCAGCCTGCGAGGCCAGTGCAGCTGTATGCAAATAGCGCCTCGGGCGGTGCAGGCCGCGGCTCGTTGGCCGCCCAGCACCAGCACATGGCCGGCGAGCGGCCGTGTCCAATCATCTGCGCCGACCCGGCCTACCGGGCAGAGATCCTCTCTAGCCGTAGCAACAGGAATTACAACATACGTTCCTTTTGGATTAGGGCCACCAAAACAAAGGGGGGAAAAGAAAGATTAAATTTTTTATTGTCAATAGAGATAAGACAAAAGAAGAAAGGAAGCAATAAAGTCAGTGAAGTTGATAGGACAGCCCAATAATCGAGTTGAATTATTAATTGTAAATTTATTTTTTAAATATTATTGTATAGGCCTATATATTTATTACATGGGACATATGCGTTTAATCTATTACGTATGCCGACCACTTTTTAATATACAGGCTAGTTGCCACTTAAAAGCAATTCGTGTAAGTTAAAAAACTGAAAGGCATATGCTTGTGAAATATAAAACACAGAGATACTGTTTCCATCTCGCAGCGGTCAGAAAAGCTAGTAGCCCACCGTCACGCACATGGCTACTGTCGCGCATTCCGACAGAGGACGCATGTGTCTCCAATTGTTTGATAGCCTATTTGTGTCAAACGCTTAAACTTTACTCTGTTCCTAACTTCTAGCAGAAAAGAATGTAGGCTGTTGTATTAGCAGGATACTTTGCGAGTTATTATGTTAGTCCGCCTAATGTTTAAATTAATTTATGTGTACGCTACTTTTTAATTATTTACAAATACAAAATTGACGGTAAAATAATATGAAATTAAATTTGCACACACAAAATGTGAGTACCCCGAGGACATTTAGCAGCTCAGGTTCAACATTAGGCTAAATACAGGCTTACGTAAATTTTGTTTCATACAAAATCAGTCTCATGAATTGTGAAATTAGCATATGTTTTTTTTTCCGTGGGGCTTTGTCTGTATCAAGGAGCAGTGAAATTTTACCATTTGATTACTATTTAACAAAAACCAATTTTCTCTCTGTCGTATTCGATAGTAAGTGTTGGTGGTTGTTCAATAAAAAGTGTGAAATCTAAAGGACGCACAAGGCATCATTACACCACTACACCGATCTGCTACATTGTAGCTGTTTGAAATACATGCAGACGTTTTACACAGATGCATGTTCTTGTACTTGACGTAATATATTTCGTCTGACGGTGGAGTATGAAAAGGGATGTCACCACTTCCAACCGATAAGTGGCCTTGTGTAGGGTTAGTATTGTTAAAATATGACACTTTCTGAAAATTTGATTTCTGGAAGATTCATCTCAATGCCACGAATCCCAACTAGATGTCATTCTAAATGATGTATGCCCCTTGAACACTATATAGAAGACAAACTTCAAAGTTTAATTCCCATTTTGCCAGATGTCCCATTTTCACAATACTCACCATACACACTTACAAACTTACAAACATCATACAAACATCACTTACAAACTTACAAACATCATAGAGTAAAAACACGATGATCACTCATTATAGATGGCAAGGATTGTTTGTCAGTATAGTTACCAGAATTTGTCCGAGAAGCACAGTTAAGCAATTTCGTAAATGCGTAATAAACGGAATGCAGTTGGATAAATCACAAATATCGATTGATGGCTTGCGTGTAACCAACTACCGTCAAATAGTCTACGTCTATATGCGTTCTCTGCCATGGTACATATTTTGAAGAAATGTGCAGTTCAGCATCCTATATAGTTACACCGTTTGTGTCTGTCCGATGGTAATGTGTTAAATCGGACAGGACCCTAGAAAAGGCTTAATTTGATTTTCCAGCTTTATGCAAATACCGGTCAGGAGGTCAGATCGGGCGCGTGGCTGTGCTGCAAGGCACACTTTCAGACTTACAATTCCGACATTGAATGAAAAGAAAAGAGAGAGAAAGACGCATCCCCAGCACACACCCCAGGCTCCCAGGTCCTCTTAACCTAGCCGGGGTAAAGGCAATAACAGTCTCCATTCCCCAGAGATAGCAATCCGCAAAAGAACACCACACGACGCCTGGTATTCGTGGTTTGGAGAATTACGAACTCAACAGAGTTCAGCGTAAACTGAAAATGTACGTTTTTTTCAGAAGTGTATACTCTATTCTGTGCTAATCACTGTACCTGCAATTTAACGGTCTTCTGAAGTATGGATTCATTATTTGTCTGCTTTTCATTTTAGTATTTACTTTTTATAAGTTTTGCTTCAGTAGCTATGAAGCTGACAGTCACTACAATTTACATATGTAATTTGAGTATATTAATATATTCATTGTTTATTTTGATGAAATTTCCGTATTTAAATCACATTTTAGCAGTTAGGATTATTATAGTTTTCACTTGTATCAGTGGTTAAGTGTAATCAGGTAGGCCTATGTATATCTATCTATCTATCTATCTATCTATCTATCTATCTATCTATCTATCTATCTATCTATCTATCTATCTATCTATCTATCTATCTATCGGCCTACACGATTTTAACATCTTGATTTAGCTACAGGACAACATAAAACTTAAAATCACATTTTATAAAAAATGAACAGCATTTTAAATATTAAAAATGTATGCATTGCACAAAAGTAAATTTAACAATAATACTATGATTATACCTTGAAACAGTGAATGTTTCAATACAATAGACCATGTCAGTCTTATTGTCAAATGGAACGCTTTGTTTCGAGAGAAAAAATTCCACGTCAAAAACAAAACAGTGAATTAATAAGAAGAATCCGTTAGGCCTCATACCCATATGCGCGCCGCAGAGGGTAAGCGAACACTAGGCTATATGTTCATAGATTTTTTTAACATCTTTTGTTTGCGGTCTAAGAGCATTTGTAGGACGCACACCGCATTCTGGAAGTCCCTGATGCCGATCGAAATGTATTCCTCCCATTTTTCTTTTGAGGGGGTGTGGGTGGGATTTTTAGGAGTCGTGCTGTGAAAAGGGTTAATTTCGTTGACAATAGCGGGGCAGACTTCCTATTCTTGGAATCAGACGTTCAGGTGGATGTATGCAGAAGGGGTGTGTGCATCGCTGTGAGATTCTGATTGAGCTCGTTTTAACGTTTTTACTACTTCAAAAACCATTTGCAACTTTTTACATCCTTTTTATTTACGTTGACTTAGATATATGCACCCTGTGCACTACCTCTACTACCTAGCCACCCTACCCCCTTCACAGACATAAAATCCACCCCCCCCCCCTTTCCATTCTGTTGCCCTGTTGAATGAAGACAAAGGTAGGGCACGTGTTTGTTGAATGGAGTCCCGGAGGAGAGCGGGCGAACAAAAGCTAGAGAAGCTTGGCGTGTGGCATGGCCCAATCTACATAATTATAAGGGACCACGCGTCAGGGAGTGGGGGTGTGACGAGGGGGGTTGACATCTGCCGCTCCGCTCCCCCGAGACTCGGAGTGGATCAAGTTGCCGGCCCGCCACTATTGGCGCTTAGGCTGCAACCATCTGCGTTCCCTCGGGCGCACAATGGGAGCTCAGTGCCTTTAAAAAGACGAGGTAAGGAGAGAAGTCAGTGTCACAACGCGGGACCGCTCAGCCGAAAAGCTCTCGTTTCTTTTCACTTGCAGTTAGTCTTTACATTTTTGTAGCCACAATCTTGACGTTTCTCTGCAGGTATCTCAATTTGGAATACCGAAGTCGCGATGCCACGGGGTTTTTTGGTAAAGCGCACCAAAAAGCCTGGCGCAGTCTCCTACAGGGTGCGTGAGGAGTGTGTGCCAGCTCAGGGTTTCTTAACAGCAGTCTACGCTTCAGGCATGCCGTGCTACATCGACAGAAAGCATATCAGGACTGCGACCTTGCCCACGGGCTGCAATCAGGTCTGGAGCATACAGAGTCGGGTAAGTTTAGGCGGGATGCCTGAAGCTCAATGCCCCCCGACTCTCAGTCCAAACCGGCCAGTCAGTGCGGCGTACCCCCAGCAGAATACATCGGCCGAATACTTAGATCGCAAACTGAACTCCAGCTCTCCTGTTCAAGCCGAGTCTTTTCCCGAGCAAAACTTCGCCATCAGCGGCACAGGTGTAGCGTTCCCTCCTTCTTTGGCTGAGATGACAACGAAACTGGGCAATGAGTGCAAAGAACCGGAGTCCATCGCCGTCAAGCGACCCGCCCCCACAAATGCCAAAGCCAAGCAGACGCATGCCAAAAAGCATAAGTCCTCGAGTTCAGTTCATGGAGATAAAAAACTAAGTTACCGGGATGAAGTTACAACATCGCCAGTTCTTGGTTTGAAGATTAAGGAAATGCCGGAGGAAGACGCAAAGCCGCGGTCCAACAGCCCGCTTGGTGAGTTCATTTGTCAACTTTGCAAGGAGAGATACGCGGATCCACTGACCCTAGCGCAGCACAGGTGTTCCCGCATCGTCCGCGTCGACTATCGCTGCACTGAATGCGACAAAGTCTTCAGCTGCCCCGCCAATTTAGCCTCCCACAGAAGGTGGCACAAGCCAAAGACCCAGCCGGAGGGCAGTTCCGCAGATAGCGAGGAGATGGAGTCTAATTTGACTTCTGTCGGACAGGACCAAACCATTAAGATTCGAGATGGACGCACACCGTCTCCGCAGGTTTCTGACTCTGGATCCGAAGAAGACCTGGCCTTCAGTTGCTCCCTGTGTTGCAAGAAATTCAGGAGACAAGCTTATCTAAGAAAACATCTCGCTCTGCACAATAGGCAGGCCACGGCTTCGGAGAGCGCACAGCCTATAGAAGAAAAAGTAAAATCAAATCCACAACAGAATTGCTCCGGCGAGCTTAGATCTCTCTACCTCGGGAAAGACGCGCAGGGATCGGGATCTGCAGCCAGCGAGGTGTACTCATGCAGATTCTGCGGTGAGAACTTCTTCTCCTCTCCAGGGCTCACCAGGCACATCAACAAATGTCACCCAGCTGAAACCAGACATGTTATTTTATTGTCTCAAACGGGTTGACAAACTTGGATATGAAAACTAACCAAAAAAAAAAAAATCCGTGTTGCCAGTTTTGACCATCATCTTGCATGTCTGCATGTTGCCTATATTTCTAACGCGTTGTGCAAAAACCTGGCGACGACCTCAAGGATAATGAGTCAGCAGCGCAATCTGTATAGCCAATTAGCTTTTTATATGTGCGTTATTTTTTCTCATATTAAAGTCTATTTATTTATTTATGGCCTTTCATACAGAAAATTTGCTGCTTTATGTTATTGCTGGAATGCGTTTATTAGATATTTGCCTTACAATAAAACACCATTGTGAAAATTCCTGAGTATTTTAAACCCAAAATTGACCAAAACGCATTTTGTATTTTTATATGTTGGTATGTTCTTATATTTAAGCAATAAAAATACAGTACAATACAAATAACTCCTTGTTCTCCGTGATTACATTTATTAAAACGTTTGATACGTCTATATGTCTTTATTCGTTTGCCTTGTGTTACACATTTACCACATTATTCCATTTTTCCACTGTTACATAAGCGTCTGTATAACTTTTAAATATGAGCAGAAATTACAATATCTACATTAGATGCATATCTACATAAGAAAGTTATGAACTGTTTCATTGGGTGTTAATGAATTATTCATTGAAATGCTATACAGTGTTGTCTGTACTCTAGTATGCGCAAAATTCTTAATGATTTTGTCCCCCTGGTATAAATAAAATAGCGCATATCGCAATCTGGTTCAGAAAACCGACCACGAAACGCGATGTATAAACAAAACTAAAACCAGCTGATAATATTAATTTCGTATATTATTCAAAATTCATATCAAGCATCGAATGATTTAAAACAGTTAGAGGATCTTAACCAACTCGAAAATAAGATACAAAAAGCTGACGGATTTGCTTTTGCTGGAACACTTGGTTTATATAATCATCATATTATTCCATATTATTAATATGTTTATCTTTTGTGTTTCATAAGTATCATATCGGCATTTACTGTCGTGAAAGTAGTACGCCTTTCTTTACAGTTCGTTTTGTTTCCTGCAAGTCTGTTTCATAATCTACCGTTTTTTTTCCTTTATCTTGAACACTGCTAACCAGCTGCCTTCCCCAACGCCTCCTCTTTCACTCTCTCCTTTTCTCCTTTTCTGTCTTAATTGTCCAGTCGCTTACTTGATAGTCGGGTGGACGCCGCGGGGGGCAGGGGTGGGGTGCGCATGTTGGAAGCGCCGATGGTCTGTAGAAACAGGGCTTATGAGGGATTGCTGAACGCGGCGGGTAGCCGCAGCCTGTCCCCGCTTGTGCAGGAATGCTTTTGATAGCCTCCTGCTTACAGCCAGGAATGTGTCCGCTTGCACCTGCTCCGACACGGCTTCGGATTCTTCACAACTTTCCCTTTCTTTATACTTCTTATTGACCTAATATTCAGGCCTCTAAGCCTGCACCCCTCCGACTAAGACCCCTGCAGTCAACCAGTGCAACACAATTCTTACTGTCACTAAGGATAATGGACATATGTTACAGGGTGAAGCGCCGCATCCAGTTGTAATTAGTGTTTTGGGTGACGGTTGGTATATATTTTCAGGACAGGACCACAGCGGAATTTCTCTTCAGTTACACCGCGCGTAGGATTTTCACCACTCGAAATATAAATAAACACAAGTAAGTGAAACGGTTTTGTAGCGCTTTCGGCGTAACGTGACATTATGTATTCTACAAGGGGCACACGTGTTCCGTATAATAATATGGGAAATAAATAAATAGACTTAAATTGGTATGTTAAAATGCAATGAAAAATCTATACAACTTTATTAATAAAAGGTTATTGTATCTTTTTTTAAAACTAAAAGTTATATCTGAGTTTTTAAAAAAAGTTAAAAATTTACCGCCCCCCCCCCTTCCCCACAATGGACACCCCACCCCACCCCATGTTCAGATACGCTCCGTGGTTCATGATGTACACCCCCCAATTGACTGTCTCGATGTTCCCCTCCTTGTGGCGTATGCGGATTAGGGAAGGCAGCACGTTTTTGATGGTCTTATGATTTCAGTGATTGGTCTACTATGTACTGTTTCACAAACATGCGATATAGAGTGGCCTTTAGTGGTAGGATGGGATTAATCAGCGTGTTGTCATTTAACAGGAGGGAATCCCCCCTTGACAGAGTTTCACTTGTGCTGAATCACACAGGCATCTGTGACATCACATACTCTGACAGAGTAAAGCCTTCAGGAAGCCTCAAGAAGTAGGTAAAACAAAGATTTAGAAGTCTAAAGAACATCTCATAGTTTTAGCAAAGACCACATCAAACTGATTCTGTCAACTACCAGGGGAATCTTTACAGAGGATCCTCAGAAAATTCTGACAGGCATACGCTCTGTCCCCAAGCAGCCTGCTGCAGAAATCTTAGAAAAAGAGATACGTTTTTATTGCCTTGCCTTGGAGAGCTATCTACAAATGAGGTCAATATGTTTGTCGGCTGGCATGCATCACTGTAACGGTATTTTTGCCAAGATGCTCCAAGAGTAGAGATATGTGCCAGCAGAATGTGGCAAATTTAACGAAGGTTTTATGAAAACATTGACGTTATACTTCCCAGATGAATGACCCGCGAAGAGGCAGATCTTAAATACTCAGAGGGACTAGACTCAACAGAGCCTTAAATTTAGGAGTGGAATGTAATTTTCCACAATGGCCCACTTAGTACTGTGACATGTGTAACCCAGAGCTGAAGAAGAGTTTACCTCATTAACCCAGGAATCCTGCTATGCAGTCAACCTGTCTGACATTCCTAAAATGTGAACACAATTGCACTGTTTTTCGGAAAGTAGATGCCAAAGGCGTATCACATATTATTATGAGATGCTATTCCTGCAGCTTGTCTTGGTGTTTTGGTGAATCCAAAATTTTGCTGTTTTCGGTCCTTTAGTTGGATTGTCATCTTTCATACTTCGTATTACGTTTAACTTATATCAGATGTTTTTTGGCTGAGATTATCAATTTGTGTTGTTGGTCTGTAGTAATGAGAGTAATATTTTTACGGGTCGTAAATTATGTGTCACACAGACAACCACACGCAGTGTTACCGTGTGATATGAATCGGCTGAGGATAGAAGCTTTTCCTCTGTCTTTCCAGTTTGGCCTTCAGACAGCAGTAGGGCCTTGCTGACTGCAGCAGTGAGAAGAGATTATTGTTGCAGTGGATAAGGGCTTTTTTTTAATTTTCACTGCTCTGTCCTTGCATTGCTTCCGGTAAGTATTTTAGCCATAACTCAACATTGGCTCAAAAAGCTTTAAATCTCTGAAAATCCTCCTTGAATCCCCAGCCCCGTGACCACAGTGACGTGTCTGCATGTTTTGTATAAGTAGCACAACTAGTACCAGACGGGTCAGTCCATCTCTGTCTGGGTCACTCTGCTCCAGCCCTCTGGGACCTAGACCCGGGCAGCTGGGAACCCGAGTGACCTTGACAGTGACCGGTCAGGGTAAGGGAGGTCAGAGAGCAGAGGTGAGTCCGGCGACGCTTTCGCCTGCACAATAGGCCCAGTGTGCATTTGCTTGTGACCGTGACACTCCATGCACACAGGCGCTAAGCTAACCTTTCATCGCTGAGCCATTGTATTGTTAGCGTTATCCTTAGTTAGGTATTCATTTGGCTCATGGAGGCGTTTTGTATCCAATGCATCCTCAGGTGTGCGGCTTTAAAATCCCTCATTCCTAATAGGTATTCAAATAGTGCTTCCTACATCAAACAAACCCATACAAGTACCACATTTACCTTATATAGGATGACCACTGAAATCAAAAGTTTGTGCAGACAGATAAATATATTATGATATTTAATGTCACCTTCTTAGAAATAATCATAATCCCAGTTCATTTCATATTGCAACAATCCAAACAAGAAAAAAGAAACAATCCATATAACTAATGTATCTGCATTAGCGATTGTAGGCTTCCAGCAAAAGCATCTGTGTTCTCTTCAGGAAAGAATACAGTTGGACAATAAAAAGCAATCACAGAGGTAAAGCAATCTGCTTTACAACTCCCAGAGCAGTGGTCTTCTACAGCCAACAACGCCGTACATAAATATATAATGCTAATGGACCTGCGCCTTTCTAAGACCGAACACTAAAGTTCAGGATCAGGACAAGTGCCCACACAGATTTGATGGGTGTTGGTGAGCATTCTATAATGGGATTGCTCCCCTCCCCAGAGGGACAGTCAAGAGGTCCTGCTCAGAAGGGTTATACACTAAGAACTACTGGTGAATAAAATTGTAAAATCCTATCAGTGACTATGTCGTATGAGAGCATTTAACGTTCACAGGCTAAAGCAGGTGCTTGTACCTGGACTGCAGTATGGATTAAATCAAACTTTTACTGTATTTAAAATTTCTTTCAACATTATATATATATATATATATGTAAATACAGTACGGCTGCTGTACTGCTGTATCTGAAAAACCAACCAGGTGCTATTCCTTCATCATCATGTTATAAAACGTTTTATGGTGGAAGACGGAACTAGAAAACACAACTTTGGTAACAATCCAGTGGCTCGTGGTGCTTTTTGTGCTCTGTTTACACACACAATGGCCGGGCCTGTCAGCAGCTGTCTGTTTAACCGCCGCCATATGGACACCATGAAAAGCCCAGCCGTGGTTTTTTGTTTTGTTTGTTTTATTCTTTTGCGCAAAATATGTAACGAAATTTCCAAATAACAGTGCATTAATTAGCAAACGCCATACTGCCAGTGTTTCACAAAGAAAATACAATCTATTTAGATTAACTGCGGATTTAACTCTGAAGTTTAAACATCCAAGTAAAGAGGCATGTCGGTTAGTGCATGTTCCACTGGTTTATTTCATAAAACTCAAAAAACCATTAAATTGATGATTTAACATAATAAGATGCCAATAATATTTAAGTTATTAATGCAAGGGAATTCGATTAAACAAAGGGCAGGTTTAAGTTGCGGAGCTTTGGCTTGCTTATCAACACTCTATGGTGGGATATTTCGAAAACACCATATATACACACCCGATATACGTGGCTTTCCTCTTGCAGTCTGATGACATATACGTAGATGGTTTGTCGTCTCTGATCATCTAATTCACCCGTAATTTTTGAGAGTATGTGCTATGTGATAGACTGGCATCCGAACCAGGATGTGCGTTTCTTTAAATCAGGGGTCCCCAACTCCAGTCCTGGGGGGCCAGAGCCCTGCACATTTTGGGGTTTCCCCTCATTTAACACACCTGATTCAACTCCTTGTGCTAATTACCACACAGCTCTTGAGCTGAATCATTTATGGTGGAACAGAGAAAGAACTAAGCTACACAGGGCTCCGGCCCCCCAGGACTGGAGTTGGGCACCCCTGCTTTACATAAACACTATAGGTTTGTTAACGTCCCTCGCTTTCTCAAACAATACCACGTGACTCCAGACAAGTATCAAAACATTTATTATAATCCGGGGAACAACAAAGAAACAATTCAATAGAGGGAATTTCAGAAGACAGCTGCTTGAGCACTAGATACGCATAATGGTACCGGTTCTTTGAAAATAAATCAGAGGAGAATACGTGTAAAAAGCAACAAAAACATTGGGCTAAGGCAAACAGGCGGTTAGTGCAAAGACTCAATGACAATAAATAACTATTCCCTTCTAAGAAAACCTGCAAGAAATGTCAGAAACGCTTCATCACAATAACTACTTATTATTCAATGGAAAAACTCTTCAGCTGACAATGACGACGTACAACCAATAGTGCCCATACTTCATTAACCTGCTACAAAATGTTTTTTAAAATGTTTTTTTACAGAATGCACTTAACATTCATGCCTACCCCTATAACGTGCAGCTGCACAAGGGTTTGTTATCCTAAATTTTTTTTATATCATCTAACTTGCTTAAAACAACTTCAAAAGCCTATATGCGCATCCAAAGTATTTCTGGGCAAAAGGCTGAAACAGCTAAATGGTTCTTACATCCAACATAACAGTAACCTTTGGTGTCATTCATCTTGAAAATAATCATAGGTCTTTCAAAATATGACAAAATACATTACGCGTCAGTAACAATATGATATCACGAGTACCAGCCATATAATCACAGTTTATGGAACTGATGCATGTTTAAAAAGAAACATATTTGAATGTGTTTAAATGATTCTAGTCTAAACTTCAATGACTGATATCTGGTCGCCTGATGAAGTAATACGGTATTCTATTACCGAAGTGAGGATTGGTGAACAACTAAAAATACCCCAGTGGTTATATTTATTGACTTCACAATTTAAGACTTTGTTCATCAAATTTTATTTTTACAACTAGCAAATCAACTAAAAGAAAATTTTACAAGGATCTAGTTCACAGCCAGTATTGATCGCCAGGCTCTAGTGAACAAACTTGGAATTTCTGCTACTGTATAGCCGCTAACTAAATCAACTAGTTCATAGGCAGATTCTCAAAACATTGAAAACGATAAGGATGGACACATTCAGTATCACAGAATACCACATACAAATGCTGTGAGTATTGTGAAACTTGCTGCACTTTCACAGTAATTATAGATATATAACTGATACTTTTACATAAACAGAGGAAACCAAGTAAGACCACAAAAGTAGTCTGGACAAGCTATTATACTAAATCAAATTATTATTTGGCATCGAGTTAAAGTTTGGTGCCTGTTTATGTCACTGAACATCTAAGAGACAGGGTAAGATCCGGAGAATAACTGAACATAAAAATGGCCAGCATTCACTGGACTGAGAAGTGACTCATTAAGAAGACACCAGTGGCAAACAGAATGACAAACACAATGACAAACACAATGACAAACAGAATGACAAACAATGTTTTCACTTCCAGCTCACACCCTACTTGTGGCACTGAGGTAGCACAGAAGGTCAGTTGGCTGCTCTTCAGACAAAATCAAACTTCTGAAATCCCCAACAGTTCAAAGGGCATGCTTTGATGGGACAGGCACTTCAAACAAATGTCATCGGGGCAAAAAACAACAATAATATTCACGATGTAATAATATACATACACAGCAGTGTTCAGAACAGTTGGTGTTTAAACAATGAATTGGTTTCTTTATTTTTTTTTCCTAAAATAAACAGTACCAGTGGAATATTAGTGAGCCTTAAATTTTGCCAACAAGGCAACATTCATGTAAAGGGGAGGGAATAGATTTTAAACGGTAAAAAAGAAAAGTAGTATTTTTCCATTGATTATACATTTTGCTTTCACTCAAAAGAAAAAAAAAACAGTTTAAATTAGGATTAAACATTTCTTTTAGACATACTGTTTGGTGATGAAGTGAAAAAAGTGGAATCCATTTAATTTAAATTTATTTGTACAATCCATTGAATTTTGATGCCAATCACGCAATACAAAATCCAGCATTGGAAAGCAGGATAGTGTGCATTCTATTTTCAGTGTTTTTTTCTCCATGCATTTTGTATATCTGGGCTCATCACAGAATATTTAAACTCAGGGAAATATAAAGTTTGAGACAGTCTTTACTTCAAGGGAAGGTTATCTCCAGAGGAAGAGATGGACTACTTCCTTTCTAAGGCTTTGACAAAATCAATGGGGTTTCACAGCAGATAGTTGCACATCACATCACCTTGAGGAATCGATTGGCTCCAAAGACCCTGTGACTTGAAAGTGGATGCCGTCCCCAGGAAGTGGGGAGGCGATGAGAGGGCAGAGCCAGCAAAGGTACCACCGCTGTCCAAGGCACTCCCGGATGTTGGCCAACACACCCAGGCTGTAGGGACGACGGTTTGAATACCACTCCCTAGTGGTCTGGCCCCGCAGCATCAAGCCCACGTGGAAGAAGAGGAAAGCAGCCACTAGCAGAAAGCCCACCACACACGTGTCTGCGATGAACGCGAAGGCAAAGGCCCCAGCCGTCACCTGACCTGGGTGACAGAGACGATAAGTAGCACCAGGTTACAGTGAATGCCGGCTACAGCCGACACAATACATCCAGTGGCCATTTTCTTGGGTACACCTGCTCCTCCAAACAACAAATCATTTAGCTGCAGCTGAATACCTACAGTACAGACAGGGTCATGAGGTTCACTCACTGTGTGACTAAGTGTTACAGATATGTGACCTAAGCAGTTTTAAATGTGGTGCTATATTGCTGGTGCCATATGTGGTGATTTAAGTTAGTGGTATTCCAAGTTATTCTTATTTTACTGGGCCACCCTAGGGCTGATATATTTATGCTGACCCCCACCCCGCCCATGCACACATACACAAACTGGCCTGGTGTATGTGTTTTAATGTCATATAATGTGTATTGGCATAAAATGTGCTCATATTATTTTCAATATTTCTAAACGTTGCAATTTCGAAACAGGCCTGCCTGACCTCAAACCCCCACACGATTCTCTGCGTGCCCCCCTGTGATTCCCTGGGCCACCTCACAGTTTTAATATCTCTGGTTTAAGCAAAGGAACATACGGCAGTGTCTACAGCTTACAGAGGATGGTGTAATAAACAATAGCGGTAATTCAGTGGGTGAAATCAAGAGGAGGTCAGAGGAGGGATTGTTAACTTGTTGACGCTAACAGAAAGGCCACAAGTGAAATAATAATGGAGTACAACAGTGTTATGCAGAATAACTTCCCAAAATGCATTTTTTTGTTCATAATTAGTGATGGTCAAATGAAGCTTCATGAACCATTTGCTGTATTTTCTGACCCCCACTAGATGGTGCTCTTGGGTTTGCTTTGGGGCATGCTTTGAATTATTTTATGAACAGAGAGCACCATCTAGTGGGGTCAGAAAATACAGGAAATGGCCAGTTGAAGCTTCAGGAACCATCATAACTAACAGGTCATTGACAGAAATTTAAAGGAATCCCAGCTTGTTAATACAGCCCCATTGACAAAATGGTTGTCCCAAAAGAGACTGAAGAAATAGCAATAACAAAACAAGTGGATTCAAGACAAATAAATAATCAGCACAAACAGGCATAAGTAATGTAGCTTCTAATATAATGCAACGTAACAGTCAGTGTGGGATGAAAGGAAAAGGTGGTCTAGATGTTCCGAGGGCTGTCATGGACCACAATGCCTCCCCTGGTGTCGGAGCAACTCACCAGACACAAGCATGATCCAGGGCACCATGAGCAGCATGACACTGTGCAAGGTAACGCCCTCCTTCAGGATGACAATGAAGACCTCGGCGTTCATGACGACGGCGTACAGCAAGCCCGCCCACATGAAGAACAGGCAGCTCAGGAAGTAGCGGTAGTTCCGAAAGCCCACGCACTGGCCAAAGAAGACGCAGTGGTGGTCACGGCGTAGCACGCACACGTTGCAGTCGAAGCAGTGCGAGCAGCGCGGGGGGGTGTGCGTCTCACAGGTGTAGCAGTACCTGGCCAGAGACGGGGGTGGCAGCAATTTAAAGAAACTGCAACAAATGCTCAAGCTGAGCAAAAACTATTGTCCCAGTTTCCAGTCGACACTTTTGCCATGTTCTCTATATCCCATCCATGGGCTACTTCAGTAATTTGCCAGTAAACTAGCATCTTTCAACCAATAATTAATATCTCTATTAGTGCGATGAAAAATAACATGCCAAAAACAATAAGTCAGGTAATTTTATGCAAAAGAATTGGCTGCAGTAGGCTTGACGGGGGCCCTAGTAAAATATATATATTTTGGATTCCTCACAATAAGTGGAACATCAAAATCACACTTATTTCCAAAGTCAAGCATGTTTAACTTTACTAAATTATAAAATACTTCAAGAGCAATGTTGTGTATGTAGCGAGTGAAAAACTATACTTCAAGATCACACTGAGAGCTTGGTGATGGCCCCCATGAAGCACACTGCAGCCAAAAATACTCATCACAGTGACTACAGAATTAGCTGTATGGACAAACACTGTTCTAAGAGGATGACAGATATCAAAACATAGTACTCGTTCTCATCCAAAAATAAATATTACAGGATAAAACTCACAGAAGACCTAAGTATTTAAAAATAAATCAGGAGGCATTTTGTATGTAATCTGGACATGTAAGGTAAATGTCAATGATAATTAAAGACTAAGTTAATATACTTCACCATCCTTTCGGACAGCCAGTGGTCATTAGGGCCAAACCATGCTGTTAAGCCGGTTATTACACTTGGTGCCATTACAGTAGCGTCACCGCCCACCAGGGCCGGTCAATCCTGAAGGCGACACAGGCGGATGCCTAGGGCACCAACTTTTAAGAGGGTGTCGACTGTCGACCTGCCAGCCAATTTCACTTTGCACCGGAGAGGCGCAGGCGGTGATGCTTGCCTATGGCGCTACATCGGCATGGACCGGTACTGCCGCCCATCTACCTCCATCCTTGACCCACGTTGTCCCCGTCGAGGAAGACGCCGCGGATGCTCGGGCTGGTCCTCAGGAACAGCATGGCATTCCACGTTATGTTCCCCAGCATGAAGTATTGCAGCAGGAGGTGGAGTGCCTTCCACACCCCCGACCACTCGCTCTCCTTCTGCTCGGCTTCTCGAGGTGCCTCGACCACCACCAAATAACTAACTTCGCCGGTGATTGACATCACGAGCACGGTGTTCACTACAATGGGCAGATAATGACACGCTTTCTCTAAGCGACTCCTAACCCGGCGAACGAAGCCTGACATGTTTCCTTTCCCGTATACTGACAGTCCACAAGGATTAATCTGCTACACAAGACCGGTTCTACCTGAACCACAAATACCGAGTACTTAAACAGAACCCGGAAAATAAAATAAAAAGCAGCCTCCCGTGTAAATACAAGAGCAGGTACAACCTATGGCGGTACAACCTTCGTCTAAAAATTATAAATAAGTACCCAACTTTGAACGAATGTTAAGTAGTTAACGCAACGAAAACCTTGACCCACTTCCATACATATTACGAAAGACATAACTAATTGCACCCTCACCTACTAAGCCGGTTTCCTCCTTGGCGGCTGTAGGTAAGGAGCCGCATTTATTTCGGCTACTGTTTCCGTAACGCACACGCCCACCATCAGAGGCGGTGTCTCACTAAAATAACTCCCCCGTTCGCTCATTATAGTTCCGGCTGTCAGCGCTCCAACTATAACGAGTAAAGGGGGAACACTTCTATGTAGGCCTAGATAATAATATTGTCGTGAAATAGCCCTCGCGTGTTATACATCTGCAACGAATGATAGCTCCTTTTGAAAAAGTTTATTTAGAAAAAGATATAGCTGACAATATCCCTACAACATTTTTGTTGAAAGACCCATCAGTGTGTCAGCCAAGGGATTCGAACTAACAGACTTCCAATCACAGCACGGAGTCCTTGTTCACAGAACCAGATGTGGCCCCGGATGACGCCCCCCCCCCCTGCCCCCATATATCTTTGGGGGGACTGTCCATTCATTTCTATAGGCAAAACCCTAATCCAAACAATGACAACCTTAACCCCTACCCAGCCCTAACCTTACCCATAAGTAACCAAACAAATACAAGTCAGTTGCCATATTTAGTGTATTGATCGCTGTCACAGATTTTTATAAAATTGAATTTCCCCTTGTGGGGACCGAAAAAATGGTCCCCACAACATCAAAATAACAGGTTTTTGTCAAACTGGTTGGACATTTGGTCACCATAATGCAATATAAACCTAATTCACGCGCGCGTGCACACACACACACACACACACACACACAGAATGACATTATTTTCCAGCATTATACGGATGCGTGCTCCATATATAGGGTTATACATAAGGCCCCATCTGGGGGATTTGTCTTTTGCTTTCGTTCCCTCCCCCAGGAAGTGTAATCCAAGCATTAATCCCTTTTAATCCAGTGCCAAGTCAGTACAATGTCGAAAGTGGATCTATCAGCATGGCCTTCTGGTATCCAAAGCGGGAAGACGTCTGTGAGTCTGAAAGGAGCTGGGGGAGAAGGGAGAGGTCAGTTGCTTGCAAGCTGTCACCCACCTGTCTGCTTGGTTTAGAAATGTAGAATTATCAATATTCTTAAAAATTATTATGTTCCAGTCACGGTCTCAGTGATACCGAGCGTGTGGTTTTCAAAACGGAAATCGAAGATAAATATTTTCGCATGACTTTTTTAAAAAACCAAATCAGTACTAAAAGCCTCTCTGCTGTGTCAGAATGATATGACTTTACAAAGATTAACAACATGGGGGCAGTGTTGCATTATTTTTGATTTGTGTCCCAAGTAGCCAAACCCATAAGGCTGGGAATGTGGGGGTGGGATGCGTATGTTATCAAGGAGTTAATCCAAGGATTGAATTAATACCCCCCCCCCCCCCCTTAATAAGGAAAAGACATCTTTCTTCACATGTTTTAAAAGGAATTGTGGGACGCGTGAATATAAATTATTTTGCTAGCTGTTCGATGAAGGCATACTATGACAATACGAAGACTAACCCCAGAACTCTTCCTATACACCATGAATGTGAATTATATATGTTGTTCATATGTATGTATCAATACTCTCATTATTTGAAAATGTGTAATACAGTATTATCAGAGCAGAAAACTGTTGAGCAACAGTTAATCAGATAATTATAACTAGTTGAGGACAGAATGGAGGTATTATCCGAAGACTTTATCTTAATTTATCTTAACAAAGCAGAAGTTACGCAAAGTTAACTCTCTGAGTATTGTTTATTTAATTCATTTCACAGTGAGCATAGGAGGACAGCCTGGCAAGGCTCCCCACAGTCTCTGAGGGAGGAACAGCACCTGTCAGTGAACTTCCTCTCTGATCCCACAAGCTCCATTTGCACGTTAAGCACCGACTAGTCTCCATTTTTTTTTTCTGCAGAAAAAATGGTTGGAGTTAATCGGCTCAGTCTGTTTTGAACTGACACTCAGTAATGCTTTCCACCACTCATAGTCACTATTGCTCACTATACAGCTTTAAACTGTACATCCGTAATGTATATATGATTAATTTTTGTTTATTTATAGATGTATTTTTTATTTTATTTAGTTTTATAATATGTATTCTTTGTACAATGACAATGAATAAATATTACAAATCATAATATGTATTAATTGTACAATGACAATAAATATATTCTATTCTACTGTAGTCCTAGTCACATTTACACGATTTTGCACTGTGCAAATAGCATCTCTGTGCCTGCCTTCAGGGCTGGAGAGGTGACTATGAGACTCGAGATCTGTGCTGGCACTCAGAAGTTTGCTGGTTTGAATCCCATGAATCCCAGGAGTGATTCTAATTTGTTGGGCCCTAGAGCAAGGCCTTTAACCTGCAGTTGCTTTGTCCTCAGTACGACCTTAACCTGCATCTAGCCCTACAAGCAGGTCCTCCAACTTTCAGGGGAAACTTGGGGGCTAGTGGCAGGGTTGGCACTCCAGGAAAAAACTTTATTCCATTTGAACTAGTGTGGTGCTGAGGTATCATTCCTGAGGTGGTTTGTTGTATGGTGGCTGCAGCAACGCGGCATATCTGTGCGTGATCCTTACCTCACCTCTGTCTCTGAGACTTCTGCTTTTTCCCATCTGGGATCAGTATCATTATCTGCTGCGTGTACGTCGAGCTCAGACGCCTTCTCTGTGGGACGCAGGCAGGTGCTGCAGCTGCAGTGCAGATGGAGGGAGGTCAGCCAGCGCGAACGCAGGGCCAAGCTGCGCAACGCACAGCTCATCCAGGACTTCCAGAGGGCAGAGGCCACTGTGAGAGACCTGGCCGCCCGGACCGCAGCCATGAGCACCATTCGTGTGAGGACAGGAGGCCAAGCAGATGAGATCCAGCCTGTTTAGTTCTGTTTTGTCTTTGTTGTTTTTTTGAGAAGCCTAAAAGTTTCGTGTAAGTTGTACAGAATTGTTGCTTTGCACCTCCAGGGTTCTGGGTTTGAATCTTACCCTCACTGTGCTGCCCACTATCCAGGACCGTTTTTATGAAATCCTGCTGCATACAGCACAGCTCTCTCACTCCCCCTACAGGCTGAGTATGAGAAGCAGCTGCAGCTGAAGTGTCCCAGACGGCTGCAGAAGTTGGAGGAGAAGAGGACATGTGTGCAGTGCAAGAAGGTATTCAGGAATCAAAGTGCACAGATTTCTGTTCCAAGTCATCCCATAGTCAGTTAGGGTCATTATACAAATAGGATATAGCATGAGGACAGGACTGTGTTTTCCCTGATGTAGTTGGTGTTATTTTCCAGTCTGTGCTAAACGTTTAGTAACTTGGTATAAGTTACATCAACTTTTAGGAAATTTTAGATGTGGTACAGCAGTGCAGGTTAGCTCAGTGGTTCGCACTGCTGCCTCGCATCTCCATGGGTTTTTATGTTGTTACTATAATCCTTTATAAACATTAATCTAGGTGAATCTTGGATATGATTTAATATTTTGAGAGAGTTGTGGTTGGCATGGTGGTGCAGTGGTTAGTCCTGTTGCCTTCTACCCCTGGGACTAGGGTTTGAGTCACCAGCCCGGCTCCATGTGTGTGCCGTTTGCATGTCGCCCCCATGTGGTGTGGGGTTTCCTTCAGAATAAAGGATCTAAGGTGAACAGGAGTTGCCAAATGGCGTGTGGGCTCTGTGATGGGTTTGTGCTCCGTCCTGGTTTATTCCCTGCCTTATGCCTGTAGCTTCTGGGATAGGCTCTGGACCCCTGCCCCCCTACAAGGGTAGAAGATGAATGGGTGGATTATTTCTGGCCAGTCAAACACAGGGAATATTTTTGGTAAGACATATTTTTTGCTGAGCTCCTGATTTCACCAGCAGGTGGAGCTGAACCTAAATGAATACCTGGGAAGGCAGGAAGGGGAGAAGGTCACACAAAGCGACATCAGCAGGGGTCCAGCTGGTGCTCAGTCCCCCTGTTCCTCTGCTGATCCCCCCCACCTCCTCATTTCATCCCCTCCCCCCCTACCAGACAGCAAAATCAGTGAGTATTATAAGACCACCTGACAATATCCTTACAAACTGACTTTCTATTAGATATTGTCACATATATATTTTGTTTAGGTTACTTCCACATGCTGAAAAATTCCCAAAGTGAGGACTACACCCAAAACATCTCTGACCAATCATGCCGTCCCATGGACCATAACTCCTGGTTGCCTCGGGGCCAGCCACGAAAATCAGTCTCCCAAACCAGGCCTATCTCAGACCATCTAGCCGATGCTTCCATGGAGGCTAAAGGTTCCCAGGGCATCTCCGGAGCTGCATGCCCAGTCCAGCACCCTCTTCCATCCCTTGCCAGCCAGCCCGTTGACCCCTGCTGGCTCCTTCCTCCCATGCAGCCCCTGTCAGGCTGGCTTGGTCTGTATAGTACATTTCCACTCAGGCCCCAGTTTACCCTCTCAGCAGGGCCCCAGCAGGGGGGTCCCAGTCTGGATCCCAGGGCATGGGGTGTAGGCTGTAAGCCAGCGCAGGACCAGAAAGGTGAAACGTGCATGTCATTGAGGAGGTGGGACAAAGATGGCGGCCTTGACGGAGAGGCCACTCAGGAGGCAGACAGAGGCCGGAGGCAGAGGCGGCTTGACAGGCAGGAGAAGCCCTGCAACCAGTCCTTCGAGCTGGATGTCAAACCAGGCGAGTGGCCACTCCTGGGCTTGCCAGAATGTTCTGGAAACGTGGTTTAAGAAAGGCTTACATGAAACACCCACTACACACTAATTATTATTATTATTATTATTATTATTATTATTATTATTATTATTATTATTATTATTATTATTATTATTATTATTATTATTATTATTATTATTATTGGGGGCGGCATGGTGGTGCAGTGGTTAGCACTAATGCCTCGCACCTCTGGGACCTGGGTTCGAGTCTCCGCCTGGGTCACATGTGTGTGGAGTTTGCATGTTCTCCCCGTGTCGTTGTGGGGTTTCCTTCGGGTACTCCAGTTTCCCCCCACAGTCCAAAGACATGCTGAGGCTAATTGGCGTTGCTAAATTGCCCTTAGGTGTGCGTGTGAGTGAATGGTGTGCGAGTGTGCCCTGCGATGGGCTGGCCCCCCATCCAGGGTTGTTCCCTGCCTCATGCT